GGGTCAGTGGAGCCCTAGAAGGTCCTCAAATTCCTGGAGTCTTGAGTCACACAGTCTGACTCTGCTGGGTATAGGGGCACTGTCACCAGTGACCCAATCAGGTAAGTCATTCATCTCCATCAGGAAGCCTCTTGCCTGCTAGGAAGGGCTTATCAACAATGCAGCTATATTTCATGATGTTTAAATTAAAATGAGAGATGGAACCTGTGAGGTTTATTTTTTTTGAGGGGTTACTTCATTGCGCTTTTTTTTTTTTAAAAAGTGAAATGCCCATTTAATATTAGTGTTTTGGTTTAATATGAATTTTTGTGGGTTTTGATTTTTTTTGTTTTTTTTCTTTTGCTGTTGTTGTTTTGTAGTTTAATTCTTTATAAGTCCCTTAAATTAAGTTTTACAAATTATGGTTTTGCAGTTGTATGAACTGAAATTTTCTCCTTACTGTAGCTTACAAATAACTGTGGGAAACCATAGTAGTCCAATTAACATTTTCGTGTCGTTAATGTCTCCTGAATTTACACCAGGTTTGTAAAGGTCTCCCATGGTGGAACACTGGCAGGACTATTGTAACACCCAGGTGTATCATTTTCACTGCACAGTTACAGGAACCAATGAAAACAATTCTCAAGGAATTTTTAAAAAGGAACTGTTCATCTAATATTCACTTATGAATGAGTACATTCTGTATTTGTCTTTCTGGGTCTGGGTTACCTCACTCAGGATGATTCTTTCTAGTTCCATCCATTCACCTACAAATTTTAAGATGACATTTTTTACTGATGCATAATACTCCATTGTGTAAATGTACCACATTTTATCTATTCTTTGGTTGAAGGGCATCTAGGTTGTTTACAGGTACTGGCTATTATGAATAATGCTGCTATGAACATAGTTGAGCAAATGTCCTTGTGGTGTGGTTGAGCATCTTTTGGGTATATGCACAAGAGTGGTATTGCTGGGTCTTAAGGTAGATTGATTCCCAATTTTCTGAGATACCACCATACTGATTTTCAGAGTGGCTGTACAAGATTGCATTCCCACCAACAGTAGAGGAGTATTTCCCTTGCTCAACATCCTCTCCATCATAAGCTGTCTGCAGTGCTTTTGTTCTTAGCCATTCTGAAAGGTGTAAGATGATATCTCACTACCAAAACAGGAACCAGTGTATTCCATGGTGGCTTCATATTGAGTATATATATATGATTGTCCTGAACAAAATTGTGATCCTCCTGCCTCTACCTCTCAGTCTATAGAAGTTATGGGGATTGGGTGAGTCTTGAGCTGGACCTGAATTCAGAAATCTAACACCATGCCATATGACTGGAAACCACAACTAAAAGTCAGACATATGACTCTAAATGCTCTTAGATTTTTCAGGGGAGGGTAGGCATTATGGTTCACACTGGTAATTACTGAAGCTGAAAAACATATGTGTGAGGAACAGAAGTACAAAGCAGTCTGGCAATATAGTGGATCCTAATCAGCCTGGGATACACCAGGACCTTTCTGGGTATCAGCCACAAAATGTTTGGGAGAAGGAGTCAAGGAGATGTCTGCAGTCTTGGAGGTGTGCATGGGGATAGGGTAATACTGGCTGACTTCTGTGGGTCTCATGGTTCCTCTAAATCTTAGAAGATGCTCTAAATCTTCAGTGAGTGACCACATGGAGACACCATTCACTCTCCCCTCAGCCAGTCTCCCAGGATGGCAAGGTTGCCCCACAGAGATTTCTCTGAGCTTCCTCAGATAAATATTTTAAATATCATGTATAGGGTCCACTTGACTGGGATACCAGGGAGTCCAAAGCAGGAGGATTGCAAGCTCATGGACAGCCTAGCAGAAAGGGTCAATCAGAGGCTACTTAGGCCTGTTCTGAAAATAAAGACGGGGGAAAATAGAAAGAAAGAAAACAGGTTTGAGGATTCACATTTTTAATTCCAGTGCATAGATGGCAGAGGCAGGTATATTGCTATGTTTGTGGCTAGCCTGGTCAACACACACACACACACACACACACACACACACACACACACACTCATTTACTCTTTCTCTCCAACATACACACAAACATACCAAAATACACAATAAAACAAAGGCACAATAAAATACATATACTAAAAATACATGTGAATATATATATTTAGTTACATTTACTAAAACAAGCACATAGACATACACAAATCTATACTGAAAGTAGATACATATATACATCAAAACAATGTATACAGAATAAAACTCTAACATATATGAGCATATGAACACATATACTACATAATTCAATCCATCAATCCATGATCTCTTCAATTTCTCCTCAGTTTTGTATTTTTGTTTCTCAGGAGCTTTGATTCAATCAAACTACAAACAATCACAAAGAGGATTAAGTCAATAGACATTCAATCTCCCAATCAGATGGAAGCATGTTCTTGGGAGGTGGGGTTACATAAAGAGGGTGTTAGGGGAATGGAGTGTAAAAGGGCCAGAGGAGGCTTAGAACACTTTCAGTCCTGGAGTCTGGGGTTAATCACTGTATGACCCTGTTGGGAACAGGAGTCCTGTCACCAGTATTCAGATAAGGTAAGTCACTCACCTCCATCAGGTCTTTTTCATGCTGGGAAGGTCTTACCAGCAATTCAACTACATTTCAATATCCTACATTTAAAAGGGAAAAACAGAATTTGAGGATTGTTTTTGGTTTTGTTTTGTTTTGTTTTGAGGTGTTGTTTCGGGTGGTTTGGTTTTAATGGTAATGCCTATCGGATTGGAATTTGCATGGTAGTATTTTCATTCATTTGACTTATTTTGGGGACAGGGTCTCAGATAAGCAAGGCTGGCCTTGAATTCCAGGGCCGTCTTGGTCTGTACAGTATCCTAGCCTCATTGTGGAGTTCAAGTTAGGATCTATCTTATAGTTTAATCCTTTGTAGTGTCTTAACACATTTCACAGATTAAGGTTTTGCAGTTGTTTGAATTGAAAGTTCCTCTTAACTACTGTAGATTACAAATAATCCTGAGAATAACTAATAGTTTCATGAACTGAGACTTCAGGAGTGTGGTTATGTTAGCCTTGATTATTTAATATGACATTGTCTGAGAGACAAAAAGGGACCTGGTAACACACACAAGCCTCACCTGATGAGTAGAATTAAGGTCCAGATCACAGAAGATTCCAGATCCAGTGTAGACATGGGTGAATGAAGAGATGAAATTGAACAGATACTTGGAATGTTTCTCATTTTATAGAATTTGTGTAGTAGGATCAAACAGTACATCCAATCTGAAGATCAAGATATTTCATATTTTATTTCAGATTCCTTACCCTTGACTGGCTTGAAGTAATATATATATTAGACAACCCTGAAATCCTCCTGATGCTTTGTCCAAAGTGTTTTCATTATAGGCTTGTGCCACCATGCCTGTCATCTACTCAGTGTTTTAAAATGAGAGTGCACTAGGCACCCATGGGTGCCTAAACAGAGAACACTCTCTGTGACAAGCAGGATCATGGACAAGAGGTACATTCCTGGGTTGCATAATATCCTCTGTTAAGGTTTGGAAGCATAGGCAATTCGATTCAAGCCTCCACTGTATGCAAACCACATTTTTAAAATTAAATGAAACTAGTTGTTTCCCCTACTGTCTTTCTTAGCTATGGTCATGGCCATCCTTCTTAACAGTGTTGATTGGTGGATATTTTTGAATTTTTCAAAAAATATAAACAGAAACTACCAAGCATGAGTTCTGAAATTTATAAGCAAGTTTATTGCTCTGTGTTTGGTGAGACTGGTCTAGATAGGTTGTTGCCAGACAGACAATCTATTAGTCCACACTTTGTCTCATAAAACATGAGTGAATTAATTACTAATTAATAAACTTAGTGATTCGTTGAAAATTGTCCAGTGAGCTTAATGATAGTTTTACCATGGCAAAAGTAAAGCCTGGAGCTGGAGCTCAATTTCAAACAAAACAAACACACTAAAATACCGAATTTATAACACATACTATTACATATATATATGTATATATATATATATATATATATATATATATCACACACTAAAGTATACAGACAAGTATACACACACACTAATGTACACAAACAAAACTAAAAAAGCTTATTAAAATAAACACATTAAAACACACAGGCATATAAATAAACATACACATTAAACACCCATACTGAAATAGGTCATATATATATATGGCTATCTATAAAGTAAAACACACACATATGTGCATGTAAACACACCTGTAAAAATAATTCAATCAATCACTGGATCAATGGATTAATGATATGTTCAAATTCTCCTCAGTTTAAAAATTTTTGTTTTCACAAAAGGAGTTATGACTCAGTAAATATACACTAAGTAAATATAATCATAAAGAGGATTAAGCAGATGTTCAATCAATCTTCCAGTCAGATAAAAGTGTGTCAAATGGAAAGAAGGCTACATAGGGGAATTGTGAGGAGAAAGGATGATAAAAGAATATAGAGCCCAAGAGGTCAGGCACTTGTGAGATCTCCTCAATCCTTCCCATGCAGAATGAACACATGGAATGTAGAATATGGGTGGGTTATACATGAAATCACAGCACTCGCTATTTTTAAGTGACTTGAAAGGTGACAGTCTCAGTTTGCCACAAAAGAGGCTGATTGGATTGCTTGTTTCTGAATGACCTTTCAAAAGGGGAATGAGATTCAGAGAAGCAGAGCTTGGAACCTAGTAAAACAATGGTTAATTTGCACCTATGTTGGTTCTAATGAGAAACTCTACATGCTGACAAGGATGAGAGTTTGAGATGACCAGATATTAGAAGACATACTGAATTCTTGACTATTGTTAGATCAGGGATTCTGGCCTGGGATGGTTTCTGTGATGGGCAAGACTTACAAAATCCTGAGACATATCATGAAAATATTGCTCCTGAATGTTTTACCAGGTTCTTCTGTCTGAATATCCACCAGAATGAGCTTTGAGGCCACATCCACACTCCTGGAACTATCAATGAAGAGTCTGCTGAGGAATGAAGCCTTGGCTATCTCAGCTCTGCAGAAGCTCCCCACGGAGCTCTTCCCGTCCCTGTTCAAGGAGGTCTTCAAGAGCAGACATATGAAGATACTGACAGTGATGGTGGCAGAATGGCCCTTTGCTTCCTTGCCTGTGGGGGCAATGATGAAGGTTCCAGATGTGGTGATATTGCAAGCAGTACTGGATGGTGTAGACATACTCTTGATGCAGAAAGTTGACCACAGGTAAGGCCAAAGGAGAACAGAATGGGAGTCACTTGGTTACTGGTAAGGATCGTGGGGAGTCAAGTAGAATGGGGTCTGTAATGAATTGGAGGCATCTGATAGTCTCAGCTTTGAAATCAGTAGAAGCCTCTATTTATAATTTGAATAATAATATAATCAACTTTCAGAAATTCAGGGCACCTCAGTGTAGATGTAGCCATAGTAGGATTAGTCTTCTCTGTCCTACCACCATGTAATAAGAAAATAAGTCAATAGAAACTAGATGGAGGGAAGCATGAAAAGTATCCAGATGTAGCTCATGCAAGGAACCCTTGCCTGACAGGTGTTGTTGCTAACATTAAAGAAGTGAAATGAAAGCTGACTCTATGTTGGCTCTCTTCTTTCATTGTGACACTTCACCTTTTTCCCCAGAGAAGGTCGAAGCTTCGAGTGCTGGACCTGAGGAATGTGCACAATGTCTTCTGGGATGTATGTCCTGGAATAGAAGGTGTAGACTGCTCAAAAGGTACATTGAGTAAAGAACAAACAGAGAATGGCCTTCCTAGATATGACCTAAGATGGTTTTTGAAGGTGGTCACTGATTTTGAACTAAGAGATCACCTGGATGAACAGCAAGCATTCTTGTTGCAGTGGGCCCAGCAGCGAAAAGGTTCAATACATCTGTGCTGTATGAAGATGACAATCTGTGCAACTCCCGTGCATATTATCAAGATGGTTTTGGACACTTTCCAGCCATACTGCATTGAGGAACTGGAACTATCCACGGTCTGGACTCCAGTTGCACTGAGTCGTTTTGCATGTTGCTTTGGCCAGATGAGAAATTTGCACAAACTCCATCTATCATGCATTTACATTGACACCAAGGATGTAAATACCTCAGAAGACAAAGAGAAGAAGTATTCTGCTAGGTTCATTTCTCAAATTTCGAAACTGAACTACCTCCAGCATCTCTACATCAATGGTTTCTACTTTTCCAGTGAGCATATGAAACAGTTGTTCAGGTAAGGAAGTTTAGAGAGCTGTTTTGGCTACCACAGCAAGCCTTACTCTGTTACAATATATATTACTGAGCACCTGAGATCAATCAGCCACTGTGACTTTCACAATTATCAGCTCATTACAATATCTGAAAATGGTCTGGATTCCATCTTTACTGGGTCAGAAGCACAATTGCTTTACTGACCACTCATCAATAAATTTCTGAGATGTTGTTAGTGATGTGAAGAGAGCTTTCTTAGGAGTAGGCACACTGTGTGGCTCACAAAGAGTCTCTCTGTGTGTTATGTATCTTTCCTTGGAGTCCTGTCAACTCTGATGGGAGGGAACATGACAGAGCAGAAGCCCACAAGGTGGTGAGGAGCCATTCATGCATAGGCTTCCCTTGGGATCTCTGTCCTTATATCTTTGTGGACAGGAACTATCTTATCTCATGTGGAACTTCTGTCAGCTTTTATCTCCCCACAGATGGACAAATGATGTGAGCTCATTTCAGGCTTAGTAGATGCAAAGTTGCTGGCAATGGGCTGAGGGTCGATTTCAGGGATTGATGCAGAGAAGGGGAACATAGGCTATGTTGGGAAGGTGGGGCTGTAGTGATTTCTGCAGGACACAGGCCAAAATGTTGTTAGAACTATTTGGACTAGACTTCTTTTAGCAAATACTTCTAGGCTGTAATGGCCATCTCTTGTTCTCTGACATATTGGGAATGAGAAGATGCATCACTCAGTTGTGAGCCTATCAAAAGTGATGGTAATAGACATGAGAAAGCAATGATTTCACTATAGTGAGGAGACAATAACAGGCTGTACATTGAGTATTAAGCTCCCATATGAAGACAGACTGACTTTGCTTTTGTGGTACTCTGTGCTGGCTAAGTTGATATCAAATTGACACAGGCTAGAGTCACTGGAGAAGTGGATACTCAAAACCAGAACATGCCTTCAAAATATTGGCCTGTAGGCAAAACCTGTAGAGAATTTTGTTTTCAGTGACTTATGTCAGAGGGCCCAGCTGATTGCAAGTCAGGCCATTCCTGGGCTGGTTTTCTTTGGTTCTACAAAATATAGGCTGAGCAAGACATGGAGAACAAGCCAATAACCAACATCTCGACACGGCCTCTCTGAATAACTCCTGCTTCCAGGTTGCAGACCCACTTGAATTCCTGTCCTGTATTCCTTCAGTGATGGATTGTGGATTTCTAATCATAAGGCCAATAAATCCTTTCCTCTCCCAGGTGTTTTGGGATATTGGGTTTTATCATAGTAATAGTACTCTAAAGTAAGACATTGTCTCTGTAGTAGTATCAAAACTAAAACACTCTCCAAGACCATGAGACAGAACTGATCTCTTGTTCTTTCCTTAGATGCCTGAGGAGCCGCTTGCAGTCTCTGTCCATTGATCTCTATGAGTTCTCCCAGTCAGACTTGCAACACCTGTCTCAGTGTAAGTGGCTTTTTCAGTTGAAGCACCTGAACTTCTGTGGTGTAACATTAATGAACTTATGTCCCACACCTCTCCAATTTCTCCTCAAGAATGTAACAGACACTCTTCATACTCTGGAGTTAGAGAATTGCAGTATCAGAGACTCTCAGCTCTGTGCCCTCCTGCCGGCTCTGAGCCAGTGCCTCCATCTAACCAGGGTCAATTTCACTGACAATGATATATCCACATCTGTCCTGAAGGACCTTCTGCAAAGCTTGGGCAATCTAAGCAAGTTAACTGAGGAGTTGTATCCTGCCCCACTAGAGTGTTATGATGACCTGGGTCATTTCCTAGTCAGCAAATTTGCCAAAGTGTGTCCTGATTTCCTGGATACAGTCAGAGCCAAGAGAGAGCCCAAAACAATCTCCTTTTCTTCACACAGTTGTCTCAAATGTTTCCAGCGCTGTGTCTTTGACAATAAGGCCAGACTTTGTCCTTGTTTGTCATAAACAGGAGTAGGTTGAGCCTGGATACTGAGAAATAAAAGTTTGGTTATAGGATTTTCAGTAGGTTGTCCAAGAACATGTCATTTCAGACACTGTTTGGTGCATCAGCAACAAAATGGTGTTCATTGAATTAAAGCTCTAGGGAATGATTTTATGAAGAACAATAGGGCCAGGGGGACAGGTGTCTTGTAGAATCAGAAAGATGGATCTGCACCTCCAAGTGTGCTTCTGTCAGGGTGTGGTCACCAGTGGCTTCCCCCTGCATGGTGAGCTTATGAATGCTTTTCTCTGGTGCTCTACTCAGACATTGAACTCACTTTTTCATTAAAAGTCAAGATGTTACCTTATCTAGTGTGACCAAGGGGATTTTAGTCCATGACTTGTTACATCAAAATGAACAGGAGTCATTTATCACATTGTGTTCCTCCCTTTACCTCCCATTGATTGGTTGTTTGGTTTTTGTTCACACAATTTTTAAAATGAACTAATCAGTGCAGACTCCATCTCCTATGAAGAAGATTTTGGAGAATGGAGGGAATTACAACTCAGGGTAATCAGATAGGAGGCACTGTGCACACATCTAAGTTTCCTGAGACAGAAGTCCTTACCTTGATCATAACTGCACTTGATACCAGGATGTTGAATATTCATATGTAAGCTGTGCCTTTATTTTTTTTAATGGAGTACAACCCTAACTATTTCACTCCCCTTTTCACTATATCATATAGCAATATGTTAGTTTTAAATCATGCTCTTGATGGTTTTTCATTAAAAATATACACTAATAGTCTTTTATTTGTGGGGTGTTTACCCACCACCCCCACAGTTCCCCAGAGTTTTCTTGAGTGCGAGCAGCAGGAAATATTAGATAGAAGGATTTATTGCAGAGAATATCGTGGAGATAAACAGATAGAAAATAAAGGATAGCCTCGAGAGGGTCTGGAACCTATTCCAACGGGGCCCCGACTGTCTCTGCCCCAGGGTTTTTATAGAGACGCCAGGGGGTGGAGCAAAAGACCTCCTCCCCCAGCACAGCCAAGTGCAGACCATCTCAGACACCTGCACTCAGGCCCGTGGTCCTAATCATCCTCTATGCGGACCTGCTGGGTAAAGCCACAAGAAACCCAAGAACGGGCTCCCACATTATTAAAGATCACTGCACTGCATGCTAACCCAACATAATTTACTAACTTATTTTTATTAAAAATGTACACTAGATATGGGTGTATTCACATTCTTCTACATGTTTACATCCACTTATACCAGCAACATATGGTGAAGATGATTTCTTATTCCCATTGTAAATTTTGACATCTTTGTGGAGAATTAGGTATTCATATCATGTGCAGATTATATTTGGGTCTTTGATTCAATTCCATTGATCTGCCTGTCTGTTTTTATACCAATACCATGCATTTTGTTCTATTACTGTAGCTCTGAATCAGAGCTTAAAATTTAGGATGTTTATATCTGCAAATGTTCTCTTACTGTACGGGATGTTTTAGCTATCTTGGATGTTTTATTTTCCATATAGAGTTGAGTATTGTGCTTCTAAAGTCTGTAAAGAATTTTGTTGAGATTTTAATGGTAATTATATTGAATCTTTAGATTGTTTGGGTAAGATGGCCATGTTTTCCCATGTCAATCCTACTGATCCATGAGCATGGGAGATCTTTCCATTTATTGATATTTTCCAACTTCTTTCTTTGAATACTTGAAGTTCTTGTCATACAGGTCTTTCACTTGCTTGGCAAGATATTTTATATTACTTGTGACTGTTATGAAGGGTCTGGTTTCCTTTATTTCTTTCTCATATACAAGGATGAGCCTAGATAAAATTCCTAACAATTGTAGATATGTAGCCTGAACTGGTCATCTCCTGCGACCAGACAAGACTTCCACTGAAGGGATTGGGACACCAACCCAGCCACATAACCTTCAAACTGCAATCTGTCCTGCTTATGGAATGTGTGGTGCAGAGATTGTGGGAGTGGTCAGCCAATGACTGGTCCAGCCTGAGAACCATAAAACCAGAGTAGACCCACAATTGTCACTGGATTGCTGGGACCTAGAGTTTAGATATCACAGAGACCTATAATAGAACCAAACATTACCAGAGGGAAAAAAATCAATGTAATGATGCTTAAAGATATTCTACTATAGTCATAGATTGGTGCCTAGGCCAAAATTTGTCAGAGTGGCTTCATCCAGCAACTGGTTAAAACAGATATAGAGATCCACAAGTAAGAATTAGGCCAAGCTCAGGGAATCCTACTGAAGAAAGTGAGGAGTGATTACAGGAGCCAGATAGTCAAGGACATAGCAAGAGATCACACAGAATCAAATACCTGGGCTCAAATGAACTCAGATTCTGAACTAACAACCAGACAGCCTGCACGGCAAAGACTAAGGCCCTCTGCATATATGTGATAATAATTTAGCAAGGTCTTTTGCTGGAAATCATAATGGTTGGAGCTGGGCCTGTCTCTGACTCCTTTATTGGATTTTAGGACCCTGTTCTTCATACTGGGTTGCCTTGCCAAGTCTTAATACAAGGCAGGATGATCAACCTGATTTGCCATGTTTTGTCAATATCCATGGGAGTTCTCCCCTTTTCTGTATAGAAATGGAGGAGGAGTGGGTAGGTTGGGGATTCAGAAGGGAGGTGGGGCTGAAGGACTGTGAGGACAGGGAGGAGGCAAAACTTTGGACAGGATGTTAAAATAAACAGCAAAGAGAAAACAAAATAAAATATACACTACTAGTTTTTTTTTTTTCCTGAAACTTCACTGTACTGCCTGATAACTTCATATGACCTAACTGGGGATGACAACTGAAAAATCTGTCTGGGCAGAACTGACCCTTGGAAGTGATGTGACTATGAAGATAGTGTAATTCTTACACAACTGCTGAAATCTAACACTGTCTAAAAAGAGACATTGGCTGGGCTGTGGTGCCACATGCCTTTAGTCCCACCACTCGGGAGACAGAGGCAGATGGATCTCTGTGAGTTCAAGGCCAGCCTGGGCTACAGGGCTAGTTCCAGGATAACTAGGTTTGTTACAGAGAGAAACCCTGTCTTGAAAAAAATATAAAAATAGAGACATATAATAGGACAATTATTCAATCAACACGCACAGAGGTGGGCTACCACACATCACGCAGTAATGGCCTATTGCAACCATGGGTTGTCTTGCTACTTCTAAATGGCTCCAAATGTCAAGTCCCAAGCCACTATTTGTTTGCAGCCAGGACAAGCCATAGTGAATCCATTCAATAGGAGTCTGTTATCTATCCGTGGCAAATTATTCACTGAAGTGAGGAGACATTGTAACCAGGTTTTACGCTTAGGATTTCTAATGTCCATGTGCTGCCGGGGTAATTTAAAATAATGGAGTGGTTCCTGCAGGGAAGTGCTCTGTGTGTGTATGGTGGGGGTTCATCTTGCTTCTTCTGGTTACTCAGCTCTGGACACAGATTCAGGTCAAGGCTCTCTAATCTGAACCTTGTAGCTCTGTCTCAGCAACTCACAGTGCTTCTCTGCTCTCTCTCTCTCTCTCTCTCTCTCTCTCTCTCTCTCTCTCTCTCTCTCTCTCTCTTTCTGTCACACACACACACACACACACACACACACACACACACACTGTCTTTTTGGGAATCTGCTGTCTGCATATACATCCTATAGAATCAGCCCAATCCCTGTTATTGACCACATATCAAAATAGTACAGCTTAGGAACTGGAGGACTGGCTCTGCAGTTGAGAGCACTTCTAACACCTTCACAGAAACCAAGTTCATATTCCAGTACTTACTTGATGACTTCAAACATCTCTAACTCCGTTTCCATTGGATTCCATGCCCCCTCCTTTATTCTTTGGGCATCATATATGTCAGGTGTTTAAAAATGAATACAGACATAATGTACGCATAAATTTATGCATATAAATATAAATCAACATTTGGATGCTTAAGAAAATACACTGTATAGTAATGGACAATCAATTGGTGTGCTCTTCTCAGTTAAAGCCACCTTTCCTTTTCCTAGCCTTCCTCAGTTGCCTATAGATTTTTGTGTTGGTTTGAAGCCTGATGGGATTTTCTTTTTCCAATTTCCTATATTTATTGATATAATTATTGTTAAGCTCACCTGTTGACAATTATGTTGATGAGATTTAATGGAGGTAACTTTGGAGATTACTATGAGACACAGTCTCACAGCAAAAGTCATGATCCTCTGGCTTTTTCAATTTTTTTCATCCCTTCTTCTTCAATACTCCCTAAGCCTTAACTGTGGGATAGTTTGGTAGATGTATCTATTGGTAGCAGGATCTAGTACTCTAAATTTTGATTGGTTGTTGTTTTCTATAATGGTCTCTCTCTGTGTTGCAAAAAGAAATTTCTTTGATGAGCAATGAAGGACAAGGTATCATATAAGGACAAATGTGTGTAAGGAAAAATATTTATTGATTATTAAGTATTGTGCTAGTCTATCATTTGCTATGTATCTGTAGATTCTCCTAAATGGTCAGTCCTGAATAATTCATAAAGGTAACATTATATGTTTTCAACTGGTTATATTTACATATATGTATTCATATACAAATAAGCATTAAATAACAGTGAAAATGAGGTAGTGATCTTGAAGGGGGGACTTATTGGGGATTTTGGAGGTACAAAATGGAAGGGTGAAACGTATAATTAAATTATAACCTCAAAAACAAAAGAGAAGAAAATTTTCTGACCCAGTCCAATGTGCTTTGTTAGTAAATGCAGGTGGTCTGGAGGGCAAAAGCCTTCAACTTAGAGTCAGATTCAGGAAAACAGGCAGCCTTTGCACACAAGTTCATGTTATATTCTGAGTATTAGAACATGCAGTATGCATAGCAAATTAAGGAATATGTATGTCATCAATGGGCTGTCAGCATGAACATTTGTTTTATTTAGAAACCCTGGAAAAGAATTTGGGGAACTGATATTTGAAACAAAGACAGGATATTGTCACT